TGGTATAAATTGCCTTTTTTGTAAGTCAAAAAGGTCAAATATCAGCATTTTCATACAGTACAATCTCATATAAACTGTAATTTACTTAACCAGTTTCCCATTGATTGAATTCATTTATTGAGTCTAGTCTTTTGCCAATATAAACAATGTTGTAAGTAATAACTTTGTGTGTGTTTGTGTGTGCACTTGTACTAATATATCTTTAGGATAAACTCCTAGAAGTGGAACTCTCAAGTCAAAGAGTATGTGTATTTTAAATTTTAATAAAATAAACTGCCAGTGTACCCTCTATTGAGGTTACACCAATTTACGCTCCCACCAATGATATCTGAGAGTACTTGTTTCTTGGAGTCTGCAGCAGCATATTATATATGTTTTCTTTATGCTATCTGAAACACATTTTTCTGACTTGCCCAGAATTGGAGTTACAGGCAGAACCCAGGCTTGGCCCAGCAGTTAGAGATTTACTTCATTTCTTTTCTCCATCCCACCTGTTTCCTAAGTTACATCAAAGTTTACCTCAAGCCCACATCCCCTAGATAGTCTTCCCAGACAACTGGACCTACAATCATCTTTCATCTTCCTAATTTCTTACATATAGAAACTTAAATTCTATTTTTTTTATTGTTTTCTAATGGCTTCATGGTATAATCCTAAATCACAAGCTTGTTAAAGGCTGGTATTATGTCAAGGTATCCCTGACCTGCAACAATGGGCTCAAAGATAGCAATGATTGTGAGGATGGTGCAGGACCGGGCAGTGTTGTGTTCTGTTGTACATAGAGTCTCTGTGAGTCGGAACTGACTTGATCACACCTAACAACAACAGTAACATCCCTGACCCCCTTCTCCAGCAGGAAACAAAGTCCAGGGCATTTGGCATAGTTTCAAAAATTATTTTTTTTAATTAATTCTTTATTTTTTAAAAAACTTACCACTCTTTGAGGAAAGGAGAGGTAATATTTGTTATGTGCCAAGAATTGTGTGGTGCTGGGTATCTCCAATATGCCACATAATTTATTCTTCACAATATCCCTGCAAGGGATGGCCATTATTTTTATTTAACAAAAGAGAAAAGAGAAACACAGAGAGATTCAGCAACTTACTCAAGGTAACCCAAAGTAAGTGGCAGGCAGAATCAGTATTCAAACCAGCTGTTTGACTTCAATACCAGTGCTCACCCACATCAGCAGAGCTGCCTCCTAGGGCTGGGCTAGGAGGAGTTGAGGGAGGTGAATGAGGATCTTGCATTAGGCAAAAAATATAAGGAAAAACCAACAAACCCATTAACCAAGACGAAGAATATTTCAATGCAATATCTTACAAAATCAATGAAAAACAAAGATTCATGATCAACAAAATAACAAAATTTTGAATAAAGACAGGACCATTATTACTGATTTCCCTTTTGCCTCAGGCTCCACTGTGGCTCGCCAAGGCACTGTTACTGATCCTGTCTTTATTTAAAATTGTAAGTAAGCTGAGTCATTGGATGACAGTGGAGCTTTAGGAGGATTAATATGTTGATGGTGTATAGAGCAGCCCAAAAAAGAGAGAGACTGGAGGATTTTGAAGGTTGAAAAGATTATATCTGGTCCAGGTGAGGACAGGAAGGCAAATTGGGTATACAGTGCATGGGTATAATTCCACTCTTCCGTGTCATTTCTCTGCTAAATAACTTGGGCAATAGAACCAGAACAAGATGACCTATTATTTTAAACAAATTCTCTGCCTCCATCCATCAAGCCACAGGTGCTCGCCTGCTTCTGATGCCCCTGATGATCCCAGCTGTCAGTAAACTTTCCCCTCACTCTTGATGGTACCTGCAGAGGAAAATACCCATGTTCGCCATGTACACCCTCCATGTTACTTTAGAGTTTTTGATCTTGTTATCTCCCAACTGCAGGCTTGTCCTTCTACCTTGTCTTTCCAAATCTTTCTGTACGCTCCAGATAGCGAAGCCTCCTCTGTCTCCTTGGCCATTTGGGTTGCCTTTCTTTGAATCTTTTCCAACTCCACCATCTTTCTTGGGTTACAGCATGTAGTATACTGTTGCCGGGATCGTCTGCCCAACTCGGGCAGCCCCTATGTGGTTCTTGCCTTCTACTGATCAAGAATGACCAGGAAAGGTTCAAGTTTTCTGCACGAACAAAGCTTTATTGAGCAAAAGTAGCTCTCGAGCGGAGACAAAGAGGGACAAAACAACGCTAGCCTTTGTCTCCCGGAATAAAGGCTTGGCTAGGGCTTATCAAAGTTTTTAGGCGGGAAAAGGAATCATCTTTATTCATGAAAGAGGCGGGGTTATGAAGATGAGGTGCACACATAGAAGCAGCCCAAGATGGAACCCATAACAAAGGCTCCTGGGACTGGATGGCAGGACTTACTATGGGGTGCCGCGTCTGCACAGTTCCCCGGTGGTGACCGCTCGATTCCTGTGGATGTCTGCGCATGCTCCAGAGACAAGATCCGGCTGGTTCTTCGGAAAAACATTTTATCAAGGAAGTACACTGAGAGCTGGGTGGGTTTTTCTTTCATTATTTGCATGTTCCAAGATAATGGGTTTTGTGTCACTAGTTAAGCACGTTTTTAGTTCAGGGTTCTTTGCCTAGGGGCTCAGTCCCGTTTTCCCTTCCCTATCTCAATACTACACACAGCGCTTGTTGATGTTCACGTATCATCTCTGTGTAAAACTATGTATAGGATTCTAGACTGCTGGCAGTGTGCCTTAGGGACCTCACATTTAACCCAGTCCAACTCCCTTCAATGTACAGACTCGAAGACATTGGGACTTACCCAGGGTCACTCAGGAAGTTGATTGTGGGTAGGTCCATTGGCCTTTCTCTGCAAGCAGCTGGCTTTTGTCAGTTCTTACTCTCTTCCAGATGCAGAGTCCTAGCTGTTCTTAAAGAGCAAAGCAACACAGGAGAGGCAGTAGCAACCCACACTATATACTTGTGCCTACAGTGTTTGGCCTTTCCCTCTTTCATAGAGGTAAGTTCATCAGACTGCCGAAGAGCAGAGAGGCAGGGATAGCAGTTGTCTAGTATGGAGAGGTAAAACCATGATTCTAGCCATGGTTCTCAGACATGCTGTTTCATTTCCAGTACCTTTTCCTGATGATGTCCACATTGCCATTCTTTTTGGAGAAAGTGTACGTTGGTTAATATCTTCAGTGGTTGGTCTCCAACTAGTCTTAGCTTCCTTTTTTTGGCCAAGATGAATTTTATCTATTGGTCAGTGTTACTCAGAATGTGACCTCATAAACCTGGCCTGAAACTATATTGAGTCTGAATGTTTTGCCAATTGTGTGACTACAAGAATGCACAAAATAGGTATAAAATATTTCTCATTTCCTGGAGGCAGGACAAAGAGGAAAAAGGTTAGAAATATTTAGTATTTTTAAGATTGTTGTATCTACCACTATTTTAAAAGGGGAGGGGGCAAGAAAGACAAAAGTTGAGGAAAGAGGTAAAAACCTGGGGGAGTAGCTTAAATGTCTAGGGGGCTAAGGCCAGTAATATAAGTAAATAAAGTTGATCAGTAAGATGTGTAGGAGCAACGGAGGATTTTAGAAAACATGCCTAATCTAAAAGGGGGCAGTCACTACTCAGTGTCAGCTTAATTGTTGCTATGTGGGAAGGCACACCAGTGTTGCATATCTTCTGATCTTTCAAGACAACTCAGAAATCTGGATGTTTACGTGAAGTTATTCAATTACTAAATGCTGGCAACTAAATCCAAACTAGAAGGAAGGGAGGGAGGGAAAAAGAAAAGGAAGGAAGGGAGGGAGGGAGGGAGGGAGGGAAGAAGGGAAGGAAGAGAAGGAAGGAGGGAGGGAGGGAGGCGGGAGGGAGACAGAGGCTAAGCAAAGCAACAACAGGGCCCAGGAACTGCCAGTTTGTGACTCTTGCCTTAAGCAGACTTCTTAGCTCATGTCTTTTCCCAACAATTCAAGATGTATTTAGGAACTTAGTTCAAGGTGTCCTCAAGAGCTAGATCAAATGCAGGCAGAATTTCCATTGCCCTGCCAGTTCTTTAAATCTATCCAGTTTTTATTGAACACCAAACGTGCAAAGTGCAGCATTACGTCATATTAAAAATGAAATCGGTTAACAATTAATTTCATGAAACAGAGAGATACAACTTCCATAATGGTCCAAATGACTCTGAGATATATACTTAAATTTTTGCTGGTATTTAAAATATGATCGAATATCAAGATAATTATCTATTTAAAAAATCTGCTGGAGCACTCAGCTTCTACAATTTACTTCTGAAATTTAGAAAGTTACTGGGAAAGATGCTGAACATTAGGTATCACTCCTTTAAAAAAGTAGAATTTCCAGAGCAATTAATTGAAAGTGAACCATCCTGGAAGTCTTTCTTGAAGTCAGTTTTTACTTCTCAATGGCTTCTAGCTCCGTAGAGATCATCTATGACACCAAGCAGCATTCAAGTTCACACTAATTCAAGGGGGAAAAAAAAAAAAAAGCCGGCAATCTTGTTCAGCTGATTAGGTGAGAAGTCACTGTGAACAATTCATCCTGATTGAGGTCATCAATTGCTTGTGATTACATTTTAATATAAATGCATAAACAGTACATTGTATGCCGCTTCCGACCGAAAATTCGCATCACTTTAGTCACTCTATTTCCCCCTCATTCTCAGCCTCTCTATGTGCCCGTCTCTCTCCCCAGTCTATAGTTTTTGCATATTTAAGGTATGGCTACTTCTGTTTCCACTATTTCTTCTGCTCTTAGTCAAGACTGAGACTCTTTTAAAATTTCTCTGCTGCCTCAGAGATTCTCCGTACCTCTACACTCTCATCCCAAGAGCCCTTTCCCATTCTAGAAGCTGGACTCCTCCCCACTCTCTATCCCTAGATCCCTCACCCTAACAATGCCCCTAGCTTCCCCTCCCCGCCGTGCTGCCCGCGCCCCCACCCCCCATACACAAACACCTAGCCCCTCGTCCGTCCCCCGCCTCCCCGGGCCAGAAGCCTCAGCCATTCCAGAAATTCACAAAGAAGTTGCAGAGGGAGTGCCACTTCTCAGCGCAGTAGGTCTCCGTGAGCTCGGCGTTCTCGTCTGGCCCGTCGAGGTCTAGCCCGGTCCCCAGGGGTCGCTCCTCGTCGAGAATCGAGATCCCCTTCCTCCTGCCCCCTTTGGTCTTCTTCTCAGAGGGCCTCTGCTTGGACGGTGTGCTCGTGGGAGGCGGGGCCCCTGCGGCTGGGCCGGGCGCATGCTCCCGGGCCCGTCCCCGGCCTCTGGCCCGCGGTTTGGGCTCCCCGGGGAAGCCAGCGGAGGTGGGGCCCGCGGGCGGGGACGCGCGGGGCGCGAGGCGCAGCTCGGCGTCGTGGCCCTTCTTGCCGTAGCACAGGCGGGACCTGAGCCGCACAGGGTCGTGGCAGGGCAGCCGATTCTTGCGCAGCCGGCCCAGCACCTGTTTCCAGTAGTGCGCGCCGCGGCCCGCGTAGGCGGCGCAGCGCTCCGGCTCCGCGTGGTAGACGCACTGGTAGCGCGCCCCGTCCGGGCCTTGGCAGCTAAGCGCCAGCTCGCTGCCCGCCGCGGCCCCCGGAGTGGGCAGCAAGAGCTGCCAGCTGCACGCGTGCTGCTCGGGGCTGATGAAGCGGCCCGAGGAGCGGCCTGCAGAGATCACGGCCGGCTGCGCCGCGCTGCGAGCCGCCCCCTTGTCCCTCTGGGCGGCCGCGAGGAGACAGCCGCCCAGCACCAGCAGCGAGAGCGACGCTTGCACCCTTGGTGGTGTCATGGCTTGTGGGGTCCGCCTCCGCGCTCCGCTCTTCTGGGACCCGGGAGGTTCAGCGGAGACAGGGTCGGACGAAGAGCATCCCCCAGACCTGCGGACAGAGGCAGAGATGGCCACCGGCTGAGCCTAGCGCAGCATTTCGCGCAGGCATGTGCACCTGCGAATCCCCCCCCCCGACTTTCTACTTGCTGGTTTCCGGTGCTAGGGGGCCCCTCTGAAGAGCTTTCCTGGGGGAAAATCAATTACTACCTAATAAATTGGTTTGAAACCATTTGTGCATTGGGATTGTCTTCCCCATGCAAATATAACAGCAAAGTGATGTTTGACAATTAATTAAAACTTCCACCCCCTTCCCTCTCCGCCATCCAATAAACTATCTACGAAACCATTTCAGATTATTCCTCGGAAACATGCACTTTTACTGCAGTTTGAACTTACCGAGTTCTGGGACTGGTGGCGGAGCCTTATTAGGATAGACAGAACGACTGCATGAGAGATTAGTCTGTTTTAGCCTGCTGCCTGAGAATGAACGTGTTATCAATGGGACAGGAGGGGCTTCCCCACTATGCCCCTCCCAACTTCTCTCACTCTGGGAGATTTCCCACCACCCTGCGCACACACACACACACACACACACACACACGCACACGCACACGCACACGCACGCACACACGCACACACACACGAGATATGATAGAAGTGGCACTGTAACATGAAATTCAAGTCATGTATTTTGCTTCGACTGTTTACAACGTGGCTCTTAAATCATCCTTTTATTTTCCTTTACATACTTAATCATCTGAAAATAGTTAAACAGAAAATGTAAGTTTTAAGAGTTAAGCAAAATAAAATGAAACAAAACAAGTGTTAATATTCTAAACTAGGCACTATTTATACAATTACACTATTTACATTCTTTCTGTTTTTCATGTCATTCTGAGTCCTATATGTTCACTCATCTTTTTTGACAGTCTTTCTTATCCTAATAACTTAATAACTATTACTACTAATAAAAATATAATATCCTAGTTCATTAACATGCCATAGTGTCCAGCAGTTCACCCAGGGATAGACACTTGGGCTTTTGATTGTTTTTAGGTATTATAAATCAGCTGTAAACATCTTACAAAAATTACAAGTTTTTTAAAAAAATAGTCTATTGGGATTATAGTTGCAAGATAATATTACTGATTCAAATGGTATGACCTGTAAGAATGTGTTATTGAACCTTGAAATTTTTATATTTAAGCAAAGCTGTCTCTTTGAACTTCAGGATATTCTGTCATTTAAAAAAATGTTCTCGATAATAAATGTGATCTATTTTTAATTTCAAGAGTTTGTACCTCTGACTATAATTGTTTGACAGAAATAAATATTTTCCTAAAATACTTTTCCAAGATGTCAAGAAGTCTCCTTATATTTCCTAATGTCTTCTTGGGGACAGTATTTTCCATTACTGAACTCCCATTAGTATTGTATTTGAGCAGTTATAATTTGATTACTACTTTAAAAATCAAAATACTTTAGAATTAGAAAAATGTATCTAAATTTAAATGTATAGTAAAACAAAAACACCAGATGCCATAGAGTTGATTAAGACTCATGGCGACCCCATGTGCATCAGAGTAGAACTGTGATCCACAAGGTTTTCAGTAACTGGTTTTTTGGAAGTAGACCACCAGGTCTTTCGTCCAAGGTGCCTCTGGGTGGACTGGAACCGCCAACCTTTCCATTAGCAGACAAGTGCATTAACCATTTACAATATATAGTAGTGTATATTGACTTAAGAAGCTTATACCACTGTGATGAAATCAGAGATTAAATGACTTGTCTAAAATCACACATCTATTTAGTGATAAAGCCACAAACCACCTGACTTTTAGTGATGAATGATCCTTATATTTTAGCTTCGTATTTCACTACTACCATGTTCAAAGTTAGTTATATCTTAAATGATTCTTGCTAGTTTCCATCAAGTCGGCTAGAGTCCATTGTTGTGGCCACTACGTATTTTGAGTGCCTTCCAACCTAGGGGGCTTATCTTTCAGCACTGTAGCAGACAATATTATGTTGTGAGCCGTAGAGTTATCACTGGCTAATTTTCGGAAGTAGATCACTAGGCCTTTCTTCCTAGTCTGTCTTAGTCTGGAAGCTCTGTTGAAGCCCATCTACCATGGGTGACCCTGCTGGTATTTGAAATACTGGTGACAAAGCTTCCAGCATCATAGCAACCGGTAAGCCACCACAGTATGACAAACTGACAGATGGGGTAGTGGGTGTCTTAACTACACCAATATGATTTGTAATGAAAACCAATTAGTACCTATGAAGTTAAGAAATATTAACATGCTCCATAAACAAGAATAGCTAAATTATAGATAGATTTCACAGATGGAAACTCTCTGTTCCCCATAAAACTGTATTTGTGTGAGTAAAGGCACTGATGCGTCTTTTGTCTATTGCTCTGGGATTCCTTGTTAGATACAGAACCCAACAGAAATAGTTTCCCAGCTGAAGAGTGACATCTTGTGGCATTCTGCACTATTACAAAGAAAAAGTTTATTATCCAAGAAGTCATAATTGTTATTCCAGTGACCGTATTTTGCTGTGAGAAACATTGTTACCAAAGGAAAAAGTAAGGGCATACAGATGGGCCGCACCATGTCAGAAAGGGGCAAGTTACTTTTTAAAACTAGTAACTAGTTCATGATGTGAGATGTGTGAGAAAACATGAAATACGTACCTTAACACTAATTTTTAAAAATAATCTTTTAAAGATTTTGTTGTGCTTTAGGTGGAAAGTTTACAGCGCAAATTAGTTTCTCATTCAAAAATTTATACATAGATTGACATTGGTTGCAAACGCCGCTATGTGACAGCACTCTCCCTCTTTCAACCCCGGGTTCCTCACGTCCATTGTCCATTTTTTAAAAAATAATCTTGTTTATTACTGATCCAGGCCTGTTTAGATTCCTACCATATACGACGTAATAGCTCACAATGGGGTGAAATTTCTTGATAATTTCAGTGACTGTCTGCTTGGTCCTGCCCTGTGAGTTCCACAAAGGAGAAATCTTACCATAAGGAACAGAGTCCACATAGCACCTCCTTCCCTTTTTCTCCTCAGATAAGGTGAGCTGCAGCACTTGACCCAATAAACATCTATGGGGAGCGTGCGAGGGGGAGCTCCTGCCAATCAGTTTCTTAAGACTACATGATTCTTCCTGAATGTAAAATCAGCTTTGCACAGTTTAATATTCAATTTTCTGTTTCATGGGTATTAGCCTAATCTCTCAAATTATATTGTCAACTTTTTAGATAAGGATAATTTCTTATAACCTTTTTAGACAAGGATAATTTCTTATAACCTTTTTAGACAAGGATAATTTCTTACACCTCTTTTGTACCTAATACAGTGCTCAAGTCAAAAAGTTGATTGGTTGAACTCTCATACATTGCTGATGGGAGTATAAAATGGTACAATCACTTTGGAAAATTGTTTGAAATTTTCTTATAAAGTTAAACACACACCTACTCTATGATCCAGCCATTCCACTCCTAGCTATTTACCCAACGTAAATGAAAACATATACCACAAAAAGATATTCACAAGACACTTCTCAGATTAAGTTATAAACAACACCGTGACTTCTGTCTTGTGTGCTCTCTTGCTGGCGTGCACTGTCCCTGGCTTCTTGGATCACTCACTCTGGGACAGCCAGATTATATGCTGTGAGCATTCCTGTGAAGAAGCCCACGTGGTGAGGAACTGAAGCCTCCCGTCAACAGCCAGCAAGGAATTGAGGCCTGCCAATAAATACATGAGTGAGCCTGGAAGCAGATTCTGTAGCTCCAGTGGAGCCTGGAGATGACTACAGCCCTAGCCGACAGCTTGACTGCAGCCTCATGAGAGACCCTGAACCATCCATCTAAGCCACTCCAGGACTCCAGGTCCTCAGACACTGTGTGAGATGGTAAATATTTGTTGTTTTAGGCCTCTAAGTTTTGGAGTAACTTGTTACACAGAAACAGATAACAAATACATAATTTTATTAGTTTCTTATTTATCTTTCCAGTGTTTCTTTATGTGAATAAAAGCAAATAATAATAATTTTAAAAAGACATGTATAAGAATGTTCATAGTTACAATAGCCAAAAGGTGGAAACAACCTAAATGCCCACTGACAGATGAATGGATAAATAAAATGTGGTACATATATACAATGGAATATTATTCAGCCATAAAGAGAAATGAAGTTCTGATACATGCTACAACGTGGATGAACTCTGAAGACCTTATGCTGAGTGAAATAAGTCGGACACAAAAGGACAAATATTGTATGATTCTACTTATAAGCAATATCTAGAACAGGCAAATGCATACAGACCAAAGTTTGTTGGTGGTGGGTGGAAGGGGGAAATGCGGAGGTATTGCTTAAGGGATATTGAGTTTCTTTTAAGGGTGATAAAAAAAATTTGGAAAGGGATAGTGGTGATGTTTGCACAACATGGTGAACATAATTAATGTCACTAAATTGTACATGTAAAAATGGTTGTGTCATGGATTGAACTGTGTCCCCCCAAAATATGTGTCAACTTGGTTAGGCCATGATTTCCAGTACTGTGTAGTTGTCCTCCATTTTGTGATTGATGTAATTTTCCTGTGTGTTGTAAATCCTAATCTCTGCCTGTGATTAATGAGGCAAGATTAGATTATGTTAAACAGGATTAGGGTGGGATGTAACACCCTTACTCAGCTCACATCCCTGACCCAATGTAAAGGGAGCTTGCCTGGGGTGTGGCCTGCATGGCCGTTTATTTTACAAGAGATAAAAGGAAAAGGAAGCAAGCAGAGAGTTGGGAACCTCATACCACCAAGAAAGCAGCACTGAGAGCAGAGCGCGTCCTTTGGACCTGAGGTTCCTGCAAAGAGAAGCTCCTATACCAAGGGAAGATTGATCACAAGGACCTTCCTCCAGAACTGACAGAGGGAGAAAGCCTTC